TTCCGTTTTTTTTCATCTTTCTCTTTTGATTGATGGTTTTTGGTTGTCTTTTTTGGCGGTTTGTATTTTTTTCGATTCTGATCTCTCTCTCTCTTTCTCTCTCTCTCTCTCTCTCTCTCTCTCTCTCTCTCTCTCTCTCTCTCTCTCTCTCTCTCTCTCTCTCTCTCTCTCTCTCTCTCTCTCTCTTCTCTCTCTCTCTCTCTCTCTTCTCTCTCTCTCTCTCTCCTCTCTCTCTCTCTCTCCTCCCTCCCTCTCCCTCTCTCTCCCTCTCCTCCCTCCCTTTCCTTTTACATTCCTTCTCCCTTCTCAACCTTCCCTCTCCCCTCCCCTTTTATTCTCCTTCTCCCCTTCCCTTCCTTCCCCTATCCTCCCCCTCCCCCCTCCCTTCGCTTTTTTAATTCGAACATTTGAAGTTTTGAAGTTGATGAAGCGGTTGGAGTTAAATTTGGTTTAGTCAGAGGAACGAGGAAAGAATGAAGTTGTAGTCGAGTTAGAGGAACGAGAGAAAAAAAAATAAAGTTGTTGTTAAGTTAGAGGAAGGAATAAATGGGAGTTGGCGTTTTGACTTTTTTTTTCTTTTCAAGTTTTGTTTGGGATTGTTTTGGCCTTTTTTTTGGGGGGGGAGTTGAGGGAATGAGTATTGGAAGGATGAGGAAAAGGAGAAGAGAGAGGGAGAGAGAGAGGAAAGAGAGAGAGAGAGAAGAGAGAGAGAGAGAGAGAGAGAGAGAGAGAGAGAGAGAGAGAGAGAGAGAGAGAGAGAGAGAGAGAGAGAGAGAGAGAGAGAGAGAGAGAGAGAGAGAGAGAGAGAGAGAGAGAAAGAAAGAAAGAAAAAAGAGAGAGGGACAGACAGAGAGAGACACACACACACACACACAGACGGAGATGAAGACGAAAGTGAGAGTGAAAGAGCCAGGAAGAGAGAGAGAGAGAGAGAGAGATTGCATGCCTCCGCGCCCGCCCGTGGTTGCAATAACATGTAAAGCCAGTCAGTGCACATGCCTCCACGCACGTACACGGACAGTACGTAAATCGCCCCCATGACAAACAAGGGGACCACCTTGTTTACCCGCGTGTGACCGCCGAAAGTTAATGAATTGTGGCATGATTGTGCGTGTCAGCTTTGGCGAGACTACCTTCCCACAGAACCTTCGCCCTGTTGCCTGACCTCTGCTGACCCTGCCTCCTCCTCCCTCCTCCTCCCCCCACCCGTACTGTTGGGTTCCTTCCTTCCTACTCCTTCCCCTCCTCCTCCTCCCTCTCTATCGTTCTGCATCTCTTTCTTTTTGATTCTAGTTTTTTCTTTTTTCGTTGGTTGTTTCTGTGTTTTTCCTTTTCCGTTTCTTTCTGTTTTTTTTTTGTCCGTTTTCTGTGTTCTTAATCATCTACGTTTTCTTTATTCTTCCCCCCAAAATTTACAGTTTTCTTTTGTTTTTTTCCTAATCCTCTCTCTTTTTTTCGCCTAACCTTCTCCCATTTCTCTCACCTAATCCTCTAACTCCTTCTTTCCCTCTTCTCTTTCCTTCTGGTTATCACGCTTTAGCCTTTCTTTCTGATTCTCTCTCCCTTTTCATTTCCCTTCCCTTAGTCCTCCGTTCCCCCTCCCTCTCCCTCTATCCATGGACCTCTACTCCTTCCCCTCTCTCCCCCTCCCATCCCTCCTCCCTCCTCCTCTCATCTCCTCCGACTCTACTTGAATTAAATTATTCTTCTCCTTCTCTCCAATTACTTACCCCTTCTCCCTCCCAATCTCTTCGCTCCGCCTCCCCTCGTCCCTCCCGCTCCCCCGTCACCTCCCATCTACCCGCATCCCCGTCCTCTCCA